ATTTTAAGTTGAAGACTCAGAGGAATCAAAGGGATGTTAGGAAGTATTTCTTTAGTCACAGAGTTGTCAGGAAGTGGAATAGTCTGGTTAGTGACGTAGTGGAGGCAGGAACCATACATAGTTTTAAGAGGTTTCGTACATGTTATGGAGCAGGGCGATAGAGGACCTAGTAGCGATCAGTGAAGAGGCGGGGCCAGGAGTTATGACTCGACCCCTGCAACCACAATAGGTGAGCGCAAATAGGGGAGCACACACACACACACACACACACACCACACACACACACACACAAACACACACACACACCACACACACACCACACACACACCACACACACACCACACACACACCACGCACACACCCGCACACACACACACACACACACACACACACACACTACAGGCCTAGTGTCTAATCGACATGTACCTAGGACAAAATGGTAACTAAACACACACACACACAACACACACACACACACACACACACACACACACACACATTCATTCATTTGTGAGTGAGTTATCTCCGACTTCATTGATTTTATCGCATCCCAGCATAATGTGCCGCGGTAAATTAACCACGGCCCAAAGGATGAGTATGGGATGCATATTGCAGCTCTTCAGCTCACATACACGTACATGCACACACGCATGCACACACGCACACACCGATAAAACAGGCCTAGTGTCTAATCGACATGTGCCTAGGACAAAATGGTAACTAACACACACCACACACACAACCAGTAACAAGCACCACAGGCCAAGTACTGAGTAATGACGTTATCCCAAAGAAATTTATTTTAAGTTTCTTGTATTATTTACTATCCATTGTGGAATAGTTATTGAATACCCATTGTTCATTAGTCATTATAATTTAAAAAATAAAAAAAAATATATATAGGAAAAGTATTGCTATCGGCCGAAAATGGGGTATCGATATCGGCAAAAATTTTGGTATCGTCCCGTCTGTGTATTGTACTCTTTGTGCATAATATACACATGCATGTATATATCCTGTGTCCTACAGCCTGTGCAGGAAAAATATCGAAATAATCACTGCAATGCTCAAAGATATGAGTAACGTGGAACGGAAATATTGTTGTATTAGGCTGGTAGTAGCGTGTGGCCCTCGTGGCCACTACCTGGCCATGTCTGGCTGCTCCTTCGTGACCACCTGGCCATGTATAGTTCTCCCTCATGGCCACCATTTGGTCATGTCTGGCTGCTCCCTCAAGGCCACCACCTGGTCATGTATGGCTGCTCTCGTGGCCACCACCTGGCCATGTATGGCTGCTCCCTCGTGGATACCATCTGGCCATGTATGGTTCTCCCTCATGGCCACCACCTGGCCAAGTATGGCTTCTCCCTCGTGGCCACCACCTAGCCATGTATAGCTACCTGTGGCCACCACCTGGTCATGTATGGCTGCTCCCTCGTGGCCACCACCTAGCCATGTATGGTTCTCCCTCATGGTCACCACCTGGCCAAGTATGGCTTCTCCCTCGTGGCCACCACCTAGCCATGTATAGCTACCTGTGGCCACCTGGCCATGTATGGCTGCTCCCTCGTGGCCACCACCTGGCCATGTATGGTTCTCCCTCATGGTCACCACCTGGCCAAATATGGCTGCTCCCTCGTGGCCACCACCTAGCCATGCACAGCTGCTACCTGTGGCCACCACCTGGCCATGCATGGCTGCTCCCTCGTGGCCACCACCTGGCCATGTATGGTTCTCCCTCATGGTCACCACCTGGCCAAGTATGGCTGCTCCCTCGTGGCCACCACCTAGCCATGCATAGCTGCTACCTGTGGCCACACCTGGCCATGTATGGCACCTCTCAATTTACGATAACCAGCTTGCACAGTAGGTTCCTATTTCTTTCACAGTCCTTTTATGGATCTCTCCCCTTGCCTTGCCACGGCTGGTGTTACTACTACCAGTAGTACTACTAGTAGTAGTGCTACTACTACTACTATATTGCTACTACTGCTATACTGCTACTCTATACTGCTACTATTACTGCTGCCGCTGCTACTACTATATTGCTGCTACTACTATTACTATACTGATACTACTATTGCTAGACTGCTACCATTACTGCTACTACTACTACTACTTCTGCTACTACTCCTATACTGCTACTACTCCTATACTGCTACTACTCCTATTGCTACTACTACTAAGGGGCACACCCCTTAGGTGAGTACAAGACAATTACTGCTCCAGTCATGCAAGTACTTTAGGTCTGGGGTCTGCCAGTAATTCTAAGCTCAATTCAATGCTGACAGTTAACTCAGCATTCTAATAAGTCTTAAAGTATTGTTATTATCAAGATAAAACGTGGTGAAAATGGTATAAAATACCGACAAGCTGATGAGTAAGACATGTACAACAGTTGGATATATCTATTGCTGAAGTGTTCCGCCTATACGATAAGCTTCTCAGTCAAATACAGAGTATGTATAGGATGAAGGCAGCAGTTCGATCTTCCGTCCATTTTTTCTGCTTATTCATTGTTTCGGTATCCCATTATTTACTGTTCTCTGGAGAAGATGGTAAGGAAAAGGACACTTGAGCACTTAGAATGATTTTAAAGAAAACCAGCAAGATTCAGGAATGGAAAACCCTGTCATGCAAATTTTCTGGAGTTTTATGACAGAGCCATAGATATAAATCGAGAAAGGCAGGGTTTGGGTGGATTGCATGAAAGCATTTGGTGCAGAACCACACCAGAGATTAGGCCAGAAATTGCACCTGTGTCTAATTCTGAGGGACCGGAGTTCAATTCCCGGCACGAGAAAATTTTTTGTTGGGCGTTTCCTTAAACCTGTTGCCCCTATTCAACTATCAGTACTGAAGTATAAGCATATATGTAAGGCAACTAGTGTGGGTCGCATCCAGTGGAAATGAGACAGTTCTCTATGACACCTGACTATACTGGGTTATCCTCAGTTATTAATCCTCTGGGTTAATATTCCGGACAGAATCTTTTTTAACAAATGGTTTCTTGACCTCAACCCGAACAAATGCAACGTCATGAGAATTGAAAAAAAAGTACATCAAGGCAGGAGAGAAGCCGCAAGTACTCGACTTAAACTTACAAAATGTAAAAAAATTGATATGAATCAAGCTTTTCTAATACATTTGTTTTCTGAAAAAAACACTCGAAATAGAATAGGAATCCTTGTCGAAGTTTCAGGTGTGAGAGGTAGTTGCAACAGCATAACCTGCCTGCCGGATAAGTCACAATAATTGATCCCGTCGCATTAAAACATTGTGGAGCAAGATAATTACTAGTTCATGGTAGAAACACGGGTGGGCGGAGAAACGGCCATGATTTGCTGTGAGCAGCGAGATGTACAAACACTCAGCTGGGACTAGGCGGTCACGGTGTGTAGCCTGTCAAGGCTTTATACCTGAAAGGTCCTTTCATATAAAGTCTGTTCAAGGATTTTACATACGTGCCCTCTGTGCTCATTCTACAAGCGAAAGCAATAAGTTACAGATCAATTTATATTACTACTCTGAAAAAAAGTGTACAAATTGTGGAATTTTGAAGACTAACTTTCCTAATCACAATCAACTAACCTACACAACTCTAAGAGTTGAATCATACACATAAAACCATGAAAACTAGTACACATTTTACGTAGTAGCAAAACTGTAGATGGTTCTCCGTTACATAGTTACTGTACAGCAATGTAGTAAGCATAATTAAAAGCGTAGGAGACATCCTATTGTGAATACGCTTTGCTAAACAAAAGAAAATTTCAAGATGTATGGTAAAACCCACAATATATAGAGAGGTGTTCCTCTCGGTGCTTATACATATTAGTCTACTTTAATCCTCACTGAAGAGATTCAAGTAATCTTGATATTAATGTGCAAGTGAGCTGATGTCTTAATGACTCCCAAACTAACTCGCTCTTACGTTCCTACTAGGCTAACATGTTGAGCTTCCTGGAGCATCTTCCACTAGGCGATCCATTTACGCGCCCCGATAAGATCGATAATGATTTAATAAGATAATATGCCTGTCTGATAATATTCATGAGAATTTAATAGGGATGTTTCAGGACACATGCTTAATATATGAGCAGGTTTAGCGCCACAAGTTCGACACCTGATTACATGCTTGTCGGCTGTTATCATTTAATAACCCACCCTCTTGTGCATTTTATATTATATATACAGACTAAAAGAGGGTGCCTGGATATAAAGTGTAGGTTCAGACGAAACTTGAGGGTACATTTACATGGCAATATAGTTGATTAACGGACATGTAAGTTTGGGTTAACAGATCATTTACAACGAAATTTTGTGAAAGGCTAAATTCGGCGAAGTACTAACCTGATGATGCTTTCATTTAATATATCATTATCATTACAATGTTATCTAAACTTCTGATTAAAATTTTGATGCCTACTATCAACATCAATACGGGACTCAAGAGCCAGGGTCCTGTTTACTAACAAACACTATCAACATAGTACTGTGCCTTCCAGAGAATGCAAGAATACGAAGATCGTCTAAAGGCACCCTAGCACTCTCTGGAAAGGCGTAGAATTAGGGGTGGGGATATAATTAAAGTGTATGCGTATTTGGAAAACAGGGACAAATAAAGAGCGTGTTAAAAATATCTAACCAAGACAGGACTCGCAGCAACAGATTAAAGTTTGAGAAATTTAGATTTAGAAAGGATATACGGAAGTACTGGTTTGGCAACAGAGTTGTAGATGAGTGGAACAAACTTCCAAGTAGCGTCACTGAGGCAAGAACTTTGTGCAGCTTTAAATAAAGGTTGGACGGATAAATGAGTGGGTGAGAGTTAGACCTGCCTAATATAGGTCAGCAGGCCTACTGTAGTATTCCTTCATTCTTGTGTATCTGACCTTACGTATAAAAAAAAAAAAAGTTTCTCGCCACAGTAAAACTGATAATACTGAGATTATATTTTTGGAGCTGAAGACAAGCTAGTGATGAACTTAGGTACTTACCATAGGCGACGCAGGTGGGGAGGATACCCAGCCACTTGTCTCTTCTACAGAAGAGTCTGTTGCTGAAGTCTTCGCCCAGTCTGTAGCCAAACTCACACTCATATACAGCCTCAGCGTACTTGTTGTTAGGAGGAGCTGGGTTGGTCACGCTGCACACCAACACATTACAAAATTGTTATAGAAACTGCCAGCTTTAAAATAATCAGCAGTGATAATAAGCAAAGACAACCCGCTCTCAAAATACATCGTTCGTTTTCCAACACGTTTACGTGCGTTAATTTCCGAACGATCCAAGCAGCATATGATAGTGAATAATTATTTTAGGCCAGGCTGCTTTAAACGAAGTTATCCTAAATTTACGCATAGTTTATCTTATATTTACACGTAGCTTATCTTCCATTTACTCCTAATATATCATACATTTACAAGTAATTTATCCTACACTTACACCTGCTTATTCCACATTTACACCTATTATCATGGGGAGCGCTAAACCCGTAGGATTATACAGCGCATGAGGGGGATGCAATGAATTCAGGTTCAATTCAGGGGAAACGGAGCACAGATCCAATTCCCAGATCAAGAACCTTTCACCAGCGTCAAGGAGCCTCCTTGAGGGGACATTTACACCTAGTTTATTCTGCATTTACACCTAGTTCATAATCATGGGTAAACACTAAACCTGTAAGGGTCATACAGCACTTGGTAAATGGGAGGCTGTCAGGTTTGATCCGACGAAGGGAAGGGTAGCACCAATTTCTTGAATAAATAACCCATCGGGAGTCTCATGATGTGAAGACTTGTGTGTGGTATGCTGTGACTGGCGTGTGTGTGGTATGCTGTGACTGGAGTGTGTGTGGTATGCTGTGACTGGCGTGTGTGTGGTATGCTGTGACTGGAGTGTGTGTGGATATGCTGTGACTGGAGTGTGTGTGGTATGCTGTGACTGGAGTGTGTGTGGTATGCTGTGACTGGAGTGTGTGTGGTATGCTGTGACTGGCGTGTGTGTGGTATGCTGTGACTGGCGTGTGTGTGGTATGCTGTGACTGGCGTGTGTGGTATGCTGTGACTGGCGTGTGTGGGTATGCTGTGACTGGATGGTGTAGTGTACGAAGTACAGTGAAGACTTGTATGTGGCATGAAAGAGGTTGTACGTGTGGTATAAGTGAAGACTTACGTGTGGTATGCTGTGACTGGCATGTGTGTATGAGCGAAAACGTGTGTAGAATGATGTGACTGGCGTGTGTAGTATGAGTGAAGACTTGTATGTGGCATGAATGAGGTCTTACGTGTGGTATAAGTGAAGACTTACGTGTGGTATGCTGTGACTCTGGCATGTCTGACCCTGGGAGGTGGCAGGTAAAGAGCGTCTACCTCCGAGATGACACAAGACTGGTCCAGCTCTGTGAAGTCGATGTCCTCAGTCTCAACAAACCTAACAGAGGTACATCAAGAGGTAAATAACACACACACAGGTGCATATTTATATTTCACAGGGGCATGTACACCAAGGGGTTAATATCTTGAGATATATACACCAAGAGATATATGTCACAAGTATATATAGTGAGAGGCTTATATGTATGGATATTATATTAAAAAGTCTATCTCACAAAGTAGACAGACTTTTAAGTGAGGGGGAGGGGGTGTATAGTATATCTTGCAGCCTTAATGACTCACATACGGTTGATAAATTCTAAACCTAAGTTAAAAGCAAAGTTACTTTGTTCAAAGTTTAGTTCGTTTGATATCTTAACATTCGAGATTTTCGAGGGGTTTAAACAAAACATTCTAATATACTTAATGCCACAGAAAAAAACGTTTCTCGTGTAGAATGGGTCTTTTTCCTGGTAATGGTACACAAAACAAGTAGAGTTCAAGATAAGGGAAGTGACCCTAGGAAAGTGACATCTCACCTGGTATTCTGGGAAGTTCCTCCATCTACCAACAGCCTGTCTTTAGGGTAGCCTTCTGGGAGACCCTCAGGAAGCTCTCCCTCAGTGTTGGGACTCTCATTGTAGGTTTCCATTTCGTCTAGGTAACTGTAGTCGTCGTCTCCGAAATCTTCCTGCGCCACTAGAGTTTCAACAACCTTCTTCTTCTTCTTGCCTTTCTTCTTTTTCTTGTGTTCCCCGTCAAGTGTATCTTTACCTCTCTCGAAATCAGTGAGGAACTCATCCTCAGCGAGGCCTCTGTACGGCGACTCAGGAATGAAATCTACTATGGTGCCTTCTGGTTCTCGTCCCTCAATGGTGTACCGAGGCTCGGGGGCACTATAGGTAGAGTCTTTTGGATAGCCGGTGGAGAGGGGAGGTGTGTCTGTACTTGTGGTGGTGGTGGTAGTAGTAGTTGTGGTTGCTGGGGGTTGTGTCCTGGATGAGTCACTGTCCTCGTCAGAATTTCCAGGTTGACTCTCCCTAGAACGCTTTCCTTCACTCTTCCTCCTCCTCTTCTGTTCTCTAGGTATGCTCAGTAGGACATCGTTAGCGATCTGATCTTGGTTGTGTTATTTCCTTCACTGGCTGCTATGCTGGGTCCGTCGCTGTTGGTATCCCGGCTATTCAGATCATTTTCTATGAGACCGCTGTTTCCATCGATAATCTTTTTCCTGTCCTTTCCATCTTTCCGTCTGTTTTTACCTAAAGATTTCAAGATTAAAAGCTTTTTAAAAATATGATGAGAAAAGAATTCACACGAACAGTAATGATACTGATTTTCTTTCAAAATGACTATATGTAATATTTGAATCTCGTGTTCTTCTGATTCTATTGGGCCGCAAAGTTCTGAACAAATTACAGTGGTAATAAATTATTTACCTGTTTATATCTGGTTACAATCTTAATGAGTTATTTATGCAGACATGAATTAGGTCACAAAAAGATTACATTGTATTGTAGCAAGGTATGCTTGTAAAAAAAAGTTTAAGTGGTTATGCGTTATTTACAGTAGGCAAAGTCAGGGCATTTTACCAGAATGGTTGGTAATATGCCACTGTCGGTATGTCGGTAATATACTTTGACATTTCTTGAACATTTCTGAGTGAGCTGTCCCTGAATTCATTCATTTTATGGCATTCCAGTACATAATGACACAAGGTGTGACAACTGTCCATCTTGCAGAGTTTTCATTTCGTTTCATCTACATCTATACATTAGTCATTAATCAGTTTACATTTAGTTTCGTCTACATCTGGTGGTGGTGATTTAACCTCCCAGAGAGACTTGTAACTCAGCCGGAGCCGGGCGGTAGTGACATCCAAGAGTCTGCTTATTTGTTGGATGCACCATAGACACGTGGCTCCTCCTACATGATAGAATGATGATAGATGGACTCACTGGTGTCAGTCTCCCTCAGTTTCAATTCAATGAAGTCTAGTTGAAGTTCTTTTCATGTTATTGGTCTCAAACTGCTGACAGCCCAAGATTGTCATCTACTCCCTTTTAGAAGGCATATAACCTAGTTAATTCATCAATTCTATCGTGCATCTGAAGACCAAAGTGGCACGGAATCTACAGGTGCACTCTGACTCCACTCTCCACAATCCTACCATACTTGTGTCTGGTTTCTGACACAACCATGCCACAATTAACACTCAAGCAAGGAAAAATGTAAATTATGGAGAAGCGGTAAATCCACAGGGGCCATACAGCGCTTGGGGAATGGGAGGCATTCAGGCTTGATCCAAGGAAAGGGAAGATAGCTCCAATCCAATAGATAAAAACACTTTCACTAGTATCAAGCTACCTCATATTTTTTTTAAGAAAAAAAAGCACAGCAAACCTAAATAGAAGATAAATAAAATAACAGATGAGAAATATCTTCACGCAACAAGGGGCACTAAATATGAATTAGACATTATAGGCAAAGCAAAAATAGAATCAAATGTTCTTCACTGCCACAGTGGTAGAATATATAAATAGGCAAATGATATTACTAGGAAAACAAGGATAACATTCAGAGCACATGACAGGGACGCAAGCAGTGAACAACAACACATGGCCGGCAGCAAGTGCAACACAACACACCACAGTGTGCTCAAAATAATGTGCTACCAGCAATACTGAAGAGAAAGCAAGTTGCAGAACACGCTTTTGTTAGGGCAATGTTTGTATGTGTAATGTATGTGTGTGTGTGTGTGTGTGTGTGTGAGACTATTAGTAAGTGGGTGTGTGTTGTGTATGTGGTGTGTGTGTGTGTGTGTGTTGTGTGACTTTATGTAAGTTTGGGTGTTGTGTAGCTTGTTGTGAGATTGTGTGTTGTGAGTCTTGTGTGTGTGTGTGAGCTGTGTGTTGTGTGGTTTGTGTGTTGTGAGTCTTGTGTTGTGCGAGTCTTGTGTGTTGTGTGAGTCTTGTGTGTTGTGTGAGTCTTGTGTGTTGTGTGAGTTGTGTGTTGTGATAGTCTTGTGTGTTGTGTGTATACTCACCTCTTCTAAAAGCTGTCCAAGTTGTTCCGCTTCCTAACCACTCTAAGGCTGAAGCAATACTTCCTAACATCCCTGTGGTTCATTTGTGTTTTCAGCTATGCCCTTGTGTTCCTGTTTCCCGTCTCCCGAATAACGTATCCCTGTCCACCCTGTCAATTCCTCTCAGTATTCTGTATGTTATCATATCCCTCTTAGTCCATTTTTCCTCCGTCATCACGCCTAACTCTTTTAATCTTTCTTCATAGCACTTCACCTTTAGCTCCGGAACTAGTCTCGATGCACAAATCTGCACTTTCTCCATTGTCCTGACACACATGATCAGGTGTGGGTTCCATACTGGTTCTGCTATATTCCAGTACGGGCCTAACATGTGCCATACAAAGTATCATGAATGACTTCTTGCTTAGCTCTTGAAATCTTTTCGAGATGTGTTTGCTTCAGCAGTTATTCGTTGATGTATCTCGAGCGACATGCTCGGTGGAATGCTCACCCCAGGATCCTTCTCCTCGAGTAAAATTTGCAGCTTTTGTTACCCTTTCCTGCACCAAGCCTATACTCAGGCTGCTCTGGGATCATCTTTGTCCATCCTAAATTTTCATACCTTCGCACTAGGGACTAAGCTTTGGCAGCCACTTGTCAGACCAAACCTGCAGCCTTTCAACGTCCATTTGGAGGCTTTCCCGGTCCTCATCTGATTGTATTCCTCTCATTAGTTTCACATCATCTGCAAATGAGGATACATCTGACTCCATCCCTTCCATCAAGTCATTTACGTACACAAGAAATAGTACCATTTCTAGTACTGATCCTTGTGAAACCCCACTTATCACATACATCCATTCCGACACTCCTTCCAGGACAATTACTCTGTTTCCTTCTAAAGTATTCACAGATCTATTGTAGTGCCTTCCCTGTCATTCCTGCCTGCTACTCTAGTTTTTGTCCCAGTCTCTTGAGCGGTACTGTGTCAAGAGCCTTCTTACCTTCTCTGTCGTTTACGCACACGTTCTTTCTAAGTGTTCTACACTCTTCTGATAATTATGATATTTAAGAGGGGAAGGCTAAACCCATAGAGGTTATACAGTGGTCGGAGAATGGGAGGCATTTAGGTTCATTTCCTAGGATCAAGAGTCCATCGCCGGCTTCAAGGAACCTCTCTTGAGGGTCTTCTCCTGATACCTGAAAATCTCCATATCTTTACATAATATGCAAGTCAAGGACACTGACTGTAGTTTAATGTTACCTGTCTGTCCCCTGAAATACTGGGACTACATTTTCTGTCTTCCACACCTCTGACAGTTGCCCTGTGTCGAATGACTTGTTGAAAATTGTTGCTTGTGGCTCACAGTGATTCTCCTTCCTCTTTCAAGACCCACGGAGAAAGATTTTCTGATCCCACTGCCTTCGAGGTACATAGTTCACACAATAGTTTCCTCACCTCTTTCCCTGTTATATGTATTGTGTCCAATAGGCACTGGTGCACTCTAACTCTCTGATAACCACATTTTCTCCTCGACGAAATAGGGAGATGCTAGTCAAAGAGGTAGAGTGCATCAGCGAGTACTGGACACAATGCATACGACAGAAGAAGTGAGGAAACTACTGTGTTGTGTATGTGTATGGTTGTGTGTAATGTGGTGTGTAATGTGGTGTGTGTGTGTGTGTGTGTGTGTGTGTGTGTGTGTGTGTGTGTGTGTGTGTGTGTGTGTGTGTGTGTGTGTGTGTGTGTGTGTGTGTGTGTCATGAAGGTTTTTGTTTAATATCTGACAGTACACTTTCAAAGAACTAAGTTGACTAATACATTTGAGAGAAAGGAGACTTAAAGAACGTTGTTTACCGTTGTTCCTTCCTTGTTTACCATTATTGTTCCGTCTCTCCTTCCTCCTCCTCTTCTCCCTCTTCTGCTTGAGTATCGTCACCAGGTCCTTCCTGCGCTCCTCTACCGTCTGGCTGGCAGACACTCCAGCAACATTTCCACTATGATTGACCTCGTTCAGCGAGCGGTCCTCGTTCAGCGAGCGGTCCTCGTTCAGCGAGCGGTCTTCCTTCAGTGAGCGGTCCTCGTTCGACAAACGGTCCACACCGTCAACAGCCGTCGCCTGTTGTGGCTGATGGAGCCAGCAATAACAAGGACATTAGACGGATGAACGGCACAATACTGCGACTGCAACAAATCACCCTACGGTCTTAGAGTTTCCAAATGAATTTAATTGTACTATGATGCTGAGGGTAATACCAACAACTGCGGTACTGGGACGTTTTAATGGAACAACTTGTACTGGGACAACATTTTTATTAATACAACGTTTTTATCGGTACGTTTTCATTGTGAGGTTTTTACTGTGACTTTACTGGAACAATATTTTTATTGGGACTTTTTTATTGACGTTTCTCTTGGGACAACATTTCGCTCAGGGAAGAACGAAATGTTATCCCAATAAAAGCCTTGCTCTGCATATTATCATACCTAAACTAATAATAATAATAATAATAATAATAAATAATTTACACACCTCTTCACTTGTTTTCATCTTCCTTCCTTTGCGTTCCTTCCTCTCTCTCTTTTTGTCTCTCTTCTCCTTCCTCTTTCTCTTCCTCTCTTTCTTCCTTTCGAGTCTAGCCAGTATCTCACTGTCTCCCTGGTTGCTAGGCGTGGTGCTAGTAGTAGTGCTAGGCGTGGTGCCAGGAGTAGACTGGGTCTCTGTCACCACTGGTGTGGTCTCTGGGTCTGCTGTTACTGTCGTTGTGTCGCCACTAGATCCATCGACCTCAGCCACATCCGTCGACTCCTGCTGCCGATACACACCAGGAGAAAATGAGGCAGGTTGGCTGGTTAATGGGGGTTTGAAGCCTATCGACTACACGAAGTTCATTAAGGCTGCAAATAACCTGTTACTAATCAGTCAAGAATACTTTAATCTCTTAAATGGCGATTACATCTCAGAATATATACACTGAGAGTCATTCACATCACATAATTTAGCAAAATTAGGTATATCAGCACTGTTTTGGTAATTTATATGAGTTACATAGTGAAAGCACCTAAGTGTGGTTTATTTCTGTCTTGTATTCCACTACACAGGTTGAGTTACATACAGTACATATATTATAATGAAATCTGCGAGCTTGAGCTGGGAGACTTCATGATATCGTTAAGTATTCCAAAAGGTTCATCAGCTAGGGCAGCTTCAACGTTTTCAATGCAGCAGAGCTGGAGTTACTATTACTTAAGAATTACCGTCCCTCAGGATGGTCTATCCCATACACAGGATAATTCGAATTTTCATGAAGATATCTCCACCATCACAGAACGGGGCAACAAAAACTATACATAACAAAAATATGGGAGGGGGAAGACAAGTAAATGTAACAAAAGTAACGTAAAGGGAAGTTGTATCGTAGCGTGGCATCATAAGAGAACAAAGAAATATTACGTACAGCTGGGTTACTGTCCCATGCTAGGATAAAATAGACTAATGGACTAAAAATTCTCATAATTTCATCAGTAATATTATCGAGGGGGGAAAAGGTACCCAAAGAGTAACTAAATTACATGATATTCTCACTCTGACCCACTATACTTGCAATCCCTCCTCAATATGTAATGGTTATAAACATAATTTTTAAACGGGGTGGATCGGTAGGCCAGCGGAAGGCTTTGGTCAGATGACCAAAAACTCTAGCTGCTGGTCATCATACGACAAAGAGCCGCGTCAGGAAACTCTTGTTTCCTGACAAAACTTACTTAACCTAACCTTCTTCCTCAGTACACCCTGGTGTTGTTCCCGAGTTCCTCTCAAGGCAGCGTTCACTAGCCTGGGCACACCACCTCTCTCCTGTGTCTCCTCTTTTAACCTTCCCTTGTTCACCTAAGCCCTGTCCCCTCAGGTAAAAATAGTTCATGGGGAGATTATCGATCAGATTTTGCCACCGAAGTGGCTAGTTTACTGGGCACCCCATATCCATCCTGTGGACGGTAATGCAAGAGCATATGGATACACAAAAGGCCTAGGAAAGTTATAATCTACATTATCCTTCAGGGTACTTGGCTAACATATGAACTTTATCATGAAGGAGTAATCCTGTGAGTGATGGGATCCATAACAATTGTACATTAATTATTTTTTTCCGGATTTTTGAGTATCTATACCTGGATTCTCTAATAAGCATGTTATTAAGAGTCATTATGTGAGTCGAGAGCCTCCAGCGATGACAGAATCAGTAATAATGAGAGTCAAGTTCTGGCATAAGCTAGCTTTAGCGCCATTAAGATGGCAAACAATTCAGTCTGCAGTGTAGACGCCCAGTTAATTCTTATGCCTAACTCAACAATGTTCCTATCGTTCTTAATTAACTAGGGAGGTGGCAACAAGAGCAGGTGCAGCCCTGCCAGTAGATTCCTGCTTAGATCCATTACTGTATATAACTTGTGATAAATTATTACTACTAGTTAGGCGAGAAATTTCTTCTTGAGCAGTTGCTTTAATAAGTGATTGATCGTATAATCAGTCAATGCTACAAATCAAAAAGGTCAGAAAAACAAGTAAAAAAAAAAAAAAAAGATGGCTCCCACATTTTTCAAGAAGTCAATGGTACAGCACCACGTAAACATATCAAGGTGGCTTTCTGTGTGTGAAACATGTCAATTAAGCTTATATTCATAGACATAAGGATTGTCATTGTTATATGTAAAAAGTTAAGATGCAGATACAGCTTTGTGAAATTTACAACCGATACCAGGGTAAATCAGCGATGCCAAGGTAAATGACAGGTACTAGGATACATATAACTTATAATAACCAACATACGCACCCTCAACACGTTAACAATTCAACTGAAAATTACAGAGGTTCACTCTAGAACCATCGTTACGTCTACTAACCTGCTCCTTGGACTTTCTCCTTGCTGGAGTTTGTGCCTTCTTGTTCTTCTGTTTCCTCTCCCTCCTCTTCTTCCTCTCCCTAATTTCCTGAAGCCTTCTCAATCTCTCGTTCTGACTGTTCTCTACATTACCTACGGTTTCTTCCCTGCTGGGTCTTGTAGCCTGCCCCTTGATATTGTCCTCCTTGAGGCTGTCTCTTGTGGTCGAGGATGACTGGACAATGTTGTAGGCGGTGATGACATGCTGGTCATGTTGATGCTGCTCCTCCAAGGTTGCTGCTACCTCAGACACACTCACCCTGACACACAAAACAATTCAAACCTTTATTCATCTATAATACACCTTTCGCAAAATATTGTCAATATATAACAAAATTAGTCTTGCTGGTTAATGGTTAGTTAATTGGGTTTAAAGCCTACTGAATACACGAAAGTCACACAGACTCAATATCACCTGTTTACCAGTCATTTGTTTTTTATTTAGCAAATCTGAAAAGATCAGCAGTGTGCTGATATTTATTGTAAATGATAGTTAAAAAAACTAAATAAGAATATTACAACTCTAAAATTGGACACTAAAATAATCTGTTTATAATGAAAGGGAGGGAGAGAGAGAGAGAGAGAGACAGAGAGACAGACTCAGTGTAATCACTGCTGCTGGAGTGATGGTAATTCAAGTTTATTCTCTATAAGGGTTACAATGTGGGGTTTACAGGTTTTGGGTATTGTGTGGTTTACATGTTATAAAATACTAATTACAGAGGGGGCCACTAGGACACCTAGCATGGCTAGGTATTTCGAGCAGACTTAGAATAATTCTTAACTTTAAATCCTTACAGATTATGGTATTAAGGCTAAGTGACTACATCATAATTTGTGAGTTTAGCAATGTGAATGATTTTGTTTTGGCACAATACAAAGTGTCTATATTGGAGTATCATAGGCAAACTTATGACTAGTTAGGATTTATTATTTAAAGATTAAGATTAGTATTTCTAGGTTTATAGTCAGTGGGTGAGTGTAACTGTGAACCACCAGGTGGTTATCATGTAGTTAGTTGTCGGGGTGTATCAGGGAGATAAGATGTTTTCTAACTGTAGTTTTGAAAGTGATGAATGTGTCTGCAGTCTAGAGTTCTCAGGTAGGATGTTCCAGATTTTAGGTCCTTTGAAATACATTGAATTTTCGTAAAGGTTTAGTCGAACACGGGGAATGTCAATTGATGTACACAATACAGAATGGAATACAATCTAAAAAAAAAGATACCTTATTACCACCAAAAATCTTTGAACATAAATGGGTTACAATCTCTGCTGGAGACAAAATTATCCACACACGTTTCTAATGACGCTATTTAACGAAGTTTATTTAATAATGTTCTGATATGTATTCTGGTTTGTACCCGAGCAACCTAACTTTGCTTAAGTTTACTTAATAATTATTATAATGTTACAGTGTATTATAATTTGCCTAGCATGGTGAGGGTAGGTTGTGGTGGATGGGGTGTGTGGTGGTGGGGGTGAGGGTGGGTTGTGGTGGATGGGGGTGTGTGGGGGTGTGTGGGGGTGGGGGTGAGGTGGGTGTTGTGGTGGATGGGGGTGTGTGGTGGTGGGTGAGGGTAGGTTGTGGTGGATGGGGGTGTGTGGTGGTGGGGGTGAGGGTGGGTTGTGGTGGATGGGGGTGTGTGGTGGTGGGGGTGAGGGTGGGTTGTGGTGGATGGGGTGTGTGGTGGTGGGGGTGAGGGTAGGTTGTAGTGGATGGGGGTGTGTGGTGGTGGGGGTGAGGGTGGTGTTGTGGTGGATGGGGGTGTGTGGGGGTGGGGGTGAGGGTGGGTTGTGGTGGATGGGGGTGTGTGGTGGTGGGGATGAGGGTGGGTTGTGGTGGATGGGGGTGTGTGTGGTGGTGGGGGTGAGGGTAAGGTTGTGTGGATGGGGGTGTGTGGTGGTGGGGGTGAGGGTGGGTTGTGGTGGATGGGGGTGTGTGGTGTGTGGGGGTGAGGGTGGGTTGTGGTGGATGGGGGTGCGTGGGGGTGGGGGTGAGGGTGGGTTGTGGTCGATGGGGGTGTGTGGTGGTGGGGTGAGGGTAGGTTGTGGTGGATGGGGGTGTGTGGTGTGTGTGGGGTGAGGGTGGGTTGTGGTGGATGTGGGGTGTGTGGGGGGGTGAGGGTGATGGGGGGTTGTGGTGGATGGGGCTTGTTGGGGGGGTGAGGGGGTTGTGGTGGATGGGGTGTGTGGGGGGTGAGGTGGGTTGTGGTGGATGGGGTGTGTGGGGGTGAGGGTGGGTTGTGGTGGATGGGGTTGTGGGGGGTGGGGGTGAGGGTGGGTTGTGGTGGATGGGGTGTATGTGTGAGGGTGGGTTATGGTGGATAGGGTGTGTTAGTGGGTGTGAGGGTGGGTTGTGGTGGATGGTGTGTGTGTGTGTAGGGTGGGTTGTGGTGGATGGCGTGCATGTGTGAGGGTGAGCTGTGGTGGATGGGGTGTGTTGGTGGGTGAGGGTGGGTTGTGGGTGGATGGAGTGGTGTGAGGGTGGGTTGTGGTGGATGGGTTGTGTTGGTGGGTGTGAGGGTGGGTTGTGGTGGATGAGTGTGTGAGGGTGGGTTGTGGTGGATGGGGTGGGTGGGTGTGAGGGTGAGTGCGAGGGTGGGTTGTGGTGGGTGGGTGGGTTGTGGTGGGTGGGTGGGTTGTGGTGGATGGTGTGAGGGGTGGGTTGTGGAGTGTGAGGGTGGGTTCTGGTGGATGGGGTGTGTTGGTGGGTGTGAGGGTGGGTTGTGGTGGATGGGGTGTGGAGGGTGGGTTGTAGTGGATGGGGTGGGTGGGTGTGAGGGTGGGTTGTGTGGAGTGTGTGAGGGTGAGTTGCGGTGGATGGGGTGGGTGGGTGAGGGTGGGTTGTGGTGGATGGGGTGGGTGGATGGGGTGGGTGGGTGAGGGTGGGTTGTGTGGATGGGGTGGGTGGATGGGGTGGGTGGTGTATGGGGTGGATGGGTGGGTGACGGGTGGGTGGGTGTGAGGGTGGGTTTGTGGTGGATGGGGTGTGAGGATGGGTTGTGGTGGATGGGGTGTGAGGGTGGGTTGTGGTGGGTGGGTGTGAGGGTGGGTTGTGGTAGTGGTGGGTGTGAGGGTGGGTTGTGGTGGGTGGGTTGGTGGTGGGTGGGTGTGAGGGTGGGTTGTGGTGGGTGGGTGTGAGGGTGGTCGTGCTGTATATATAAAAACTTTTTGAAAAAAAAAAAATGAACTCGACAGAAATGTGAATTTAAAAAGAGAGGGAAATAAAATAGAAGGAAATGTGTGTAGTGAACAATGTTGATAAAAGTTGCAGGTGAGTGTTGAAAGGATCACAAAACCCCCACCATTACTGCATCATACATTTACAAGTTGAAAGGGATCAACCCCCATTACTGCATCATACTTTATACAACTGTTGCAAGGTCACCCCACCTTTACTGCATCTACATTTTACAACTGTTCAAGGATCACCCCCACCTTATGCATCATACATTATCAACTGTTGCAAGGACAACCCCCCATTATGCATCATAATTAACAACGTTCAAGGATCACCCCACCATTACTGCATCAACATTATACAACGTTTCAAGGATACCCCACCATTACTGCATCATATTTTATACAACTGTTGCAAGGATAAACCCCCCCCATTACTGCATCATACTTTATACAACTTTTGCAAGGATCCACCCCCTCTGAAAAAAAAAAAAGGAAAAAAAAAATTTTGCATCTACATTTACAACTGTTGCAAGGATCACCCCCCCCCAAATTACTCATCTACATTATACACTGTTGAAAGGGATCAAAACCCCCTTTACGCATATACTTTATACAACTGTTGCAAGGATCACACCCCCCATTTGCTCATACATTATACAACTGTTAAGGAAAAAAACCCCCCAATTACTGCATCATACTTTTTACAACTGTTGCAAGGATCACACCTACCATTACTGCATCATACATTATACAACGTTTCAGGATCACACCCACCATTACTGACAAAATTATACAACGTTTCAAGGTCAACCCACCTTACTGCATCATACATTATACAATGTTGCAAGGATCCACCCACCATTACTGCATCATAAACGTTGAAGGATACACCCACCATTACTGCTATACAACTGTTGCAAGGACAACCCACCAATTATGCACTACATTATCAACTGTTGAAAGGGACCCAAAAACCCCCCATTACTGCATCAACATTATAAAAATGTTGAAAGGGAACACCCCCCATTACGCACATACTTATACAACGTTGCAAGGATCACACCCCCCATTACTGCATCATACATTTACAACTTTTTTAAAGATCACCCCCACCATTATGCATCAACATTATACAACTGTTGAAAGGGATCACACCCACCATTACGCATCTACATTATAAAACGTTGCAAGGATCACACCTACCTTTACTGCATCATACATTTACAACTGTTGTAAGGACACACCCCCATTCGCATCATACATTATAAAACGTTGCAAGGACAAAACCCCCCATTACGCATCATACATTATACAACTGTTGCAAGGATCACACCCACCATTACTGCATCATACATTATACAACTGTTGCAAGGATCACACCCACCATTACTGCATCATACATTATACAACTGTTGCAAGGATCACACCCACCATTACTGCATCATACATTATACAAACGTTGAAGGATCAAAAACCCACCATTACTGCATCATACATTATACAACTGTTGCAAGGATCACACCCACCATTACTGCATCATACATTATACAACTGTTGCAAGGATCACACCCACCATTACTGCATCATACATTATACAACTGTTGCAAGGACACCCCCCACCATTACTGCATCAAACATTATACAATTTTGCAAGATCACCCCAAAACCATTATGCATTAATTATACAATTTTTGCAAGGATCCACCCACCATTACTGCATCATACATTATACAACGTTGCAAGGACACACCCACCATTACGCATCATACTTATACAATTTTGCAAGGTTCCCCCCCCACCATTAAGATCAACTTTACAACTTTGCAAGGATACACCCACCATTACTGCATCATACATTATACAACTGTTGCAAGGATCACACCCACCATTACTGCATCATACATTATACAACTGTTGCAAGGATCACACCCACCATTACTGCATCATACATTATACAACGTTGCAAGGAAATCACCCCCACCATTACTGCTAAATACTTTAACAAGTTGAAAGGATCAACCCTTTACGCATCATACATTATACAATGTTGCAAGGTTCACACCCACCATACTGCA